GACTTGTGCTGCAAGCAAAGAACGCCAGTTCATGCCATTGGGATTTCTTTCCCTATTTAATCAACTAAAATAGTTTTATTTTCTCTAACTACTTGTTTTGAAAATATCAGTTTTTCCCAACTTGCCATTTATAATAAACTGTCAAAGCTATACTGCACTTCCCATGGGAAATTTATTTCCCTCCATTGTATGAGCCCAGCCTCTTATTGTTAGATTTCAAGAGTACAAGGCTGCCTATGTGGGTTTGTTTTGCCTTCAGCAAAAGGGCAATAGTGAATTTGTTCTGACAAACATTTCCCATCCTTGCAGTGGCAAAGAGAAGGGGTTTGGCAGCAGATTTCCTGAGTTACATGCTCAGATTGAAATCCTGCATGTAAAAGTCCCAATATTGTACGTCCTTCTCTGACTTCCAGAACTTAGTACAGCCTCAATGATCAAATGGTTATGGCTTTAAACTTTGAAAACGTTTATCATGCTGGGAACACAGTGAGTTTGTATTTTTAGCTTTGACAGAAATATCTTGAAGATCTGGAAAAGCCTGCATGATATCCTCAAACCTTTCAATTTTAAAGCAAGGCTTTAGAAGGTGTTGCCTGATCTGTTGTTGAAGGGTGACTGAGAAAAAACTGTGGTCTCCCCACCTCTATGAGAAATTGTAATTGCACAACCTTCAAATTGCCACAGAAGAATTACAGGGATATAAGTTGTTTTTCAAGGTGACTAAGAGCTATTTATACCTAGAGATTTCTTGACCTTGACTCCAGTGATAATATTTCCCTCTTTCATCACTTCCAAATCACTGGCTCTTTAGGTCCAGCTATGTTTGACAATGTATTTCTGTGTAAGTCCAATGAAAACTTATTGTTTCTTTTAAGTATTAAAATAATAACAAAAATCCCCCCCAGTTCTTCTCTGCTTTTCCTATTTCAGAACAGAAGCCTGCTGGTGCTGTCTTTGTAAAGCTCACGTATCAATGTTTTATAAGGAGGGGAAATAGTTATAAAAGGGTGTAATAAGAGTACAAAATACCTGTGACCTGTGGGGATTGTGGCAGCTTCAGATTTTATCTACTGGATATGTTCTTCTGATGGCCATCAGGATTGAAATGAACTCTTTGGTGACTTAATTAAATCAGACTGCTATTAGCTTTGTTCACAGAGCTAACCCTGCATGGAGCAGAGCTGGTGTAATCATTCACATGACTTTGCATATCCCTCTTTATTAGGACAAAAGCACATAGAGATGGTTTCTCCTTCAAAAATCATATGGGACAAGGAGAGAATGTGGGATAAAGACATATTTGCTATTAAATTTGTAAAGCAATCCACATGGGAGCGAGTAAAGTCCTACTCTGTGTGCTGAGGGTTAATCCCAGAGCTGTATCAGCTCTGAGCTCACCTGTGCACTATTGGCTGAGAGCAGGGGAGGGAGGCAAAGGCAGAAAATCCACTGCTTAATTTAGACAGTGACAAATGGCTTGCTGTGCAGGATGCTTCACTCCTGGATGTCTGGGGTGGTGCAGATGCTAAAAAGGGAAACACGTTTTCTCATATCTTTACAAGCAAGGTGTCATGGGTGGCAGCTCAGCCTGACCTGTGTCTTTTAGTGGGGCTGCTAAAGGTGGTGGGAGAGTGGAGGTCTAAATCATATATTATATTATAGTGGCATGCCCTGTCCCCCCACTTTCCCATACTGGGCTGGCTGACTCCACAGCACAGTTCTTTTGTCCAGGCATTTTTCTTTTGTACCCAGACATGTCAAATATGACATATATCTGAGTGCATCTGGGAGCTGTACTGCTCTCTCTGCATTTTAACCAGCACACTGCACTGTCTGCCTCCTCCTCTTTGTTATCTTGGCACTGCTGAATGTGTCATGTGCAAGGAATGGCAGTAAGGAAGGTGATATGGCAAAAAGAAAATGCAAGAAAGCTCAGATTCAAGGGGTGCAGTCTGTTAGACCCAGGTGTGAAACCAGAGAGCACCATGGTGGGAACCATTGTACACAAATTCAGGAAGGATTTGTCAGGTTTTTCAGTCTGCTCTGGCATATGGTTGTGGACCACTACTCTTACCTCACAGCCCTTTTATTTGCAGCATTTGCTAGTTATAGGTTAGACAGATACAGATTGTGCTTAATGTGATACTGAGATCCTGCCTGCATACGCTGATGACATTCAGCCAAGGGCTTAAATGTGCCTCATGCAGGCCTGAGATCATAATGGCTTTTATTTGTAGAATTTGGATGAACAAATGGTCTTTTCTTAGCCCAGCCCAGCCCTATTCACTTTCTATTTTAGGAGATAATGATAATTGCAAGCTTTTCATGTATATACCCAACAGTTTTGTCAGAATTAAAATCAGATTTATTTAAAAGCCATCTCAGTCTAATACAGCAGTACTGGGCTATTAGTTTACTTTGCTTCTAGACATTCAATGTGTCTGTTGTATTAGCAGAATGGAAATGATGTTAATTCCCTTTTGCAAAACACTTCAAGGAACCCAGAAAGAGTGTAGATGTCATTGGTGCTATAGAATAATAAAAGGATGTTGCCAACCCTTGTATTAAACATGAGCACAATACTAAGTCTGGTGCTCAGACTTACTGTGATTTGGCTTACAAAGAAGCAATTAAACAGTCAGAGGTATTTCATGGATCCCTACTTCCCCCATGTATCTGGTTTTGGCATCAATAAAGAAGCTGGACTAGGTGGACCTTTTGTGTAATGCAGTTTCTCTATTCCCACTGCCTCGGAAATTGTTTTAAAAATCTATTTATTGATTCTATTTCTGAGAAATTTCAGCTTCACTGAAGTTTCCCAGACAAAAATGAAAACAGCTTGGAAAATATAGCAGATTTTTTTGGGGAAAATATAGCAGGGAATGCATCACAGTGTGCCAGGCCCCAGGTTGGCTATGGAGGCTGGCACACCAGGAGTAAGCAGGCATGCTAGGGAGCTGAGAAATGGGTGCTGGTTTAAAACTGCAGCTCAGCACCCACTGGGACTGGGGGGAGGATCTCATTTGCTCATTTGCATGGTTTCAGATTGAGCTTAAGGAAATGAGGGCTGGAAGGGACCTCAAGAGATGATGCAGTATCCTCCCCAAACCAAAGGCCAGATCAGCATGCCAAAGCCACTCTGACACGTGTTTGTCCCTTCCTCTCCCTGTGCTGGAAATTCCAGAGCCTCCCTTGGTGACCTGTTCCAGCCTTTGCTGTCATCACAGACTGGCATGGAGCCTTCAGCTGTCATGGCAGAGCAGAGGGATACATTACATGGTGTCACTCCTTGTCATTTCATGATTTCAGCTTGTAACATAGAGTAGAGTCCTGCTATTAGGACATCTCAGGGCTGCTTTTCAAGTCCAAGTTCTGTCAAAAGTCTGTGACTCACATTTTGTCACAAGATACCACTGTGCTTAGTCCCCCTCCCCTCCTTTTTAGGGAATTTGAGAAGAAGAAGAATGCTGATAGGAAGAGAGACATGCAGTGGTGGATTCCTGGATAGCAGGAATGTGCAGCACATATTTGGGGTTCTTTTGGCCCGTTATCCAGCAAACCAAAGTCATGCCCTTTAGTCAAAAGGACTGACTCTGCTCTCATTATCAGTTGTGATAATAAACTTGGACTTGCCCTTTTGCAAGACATGGTGTTCCCTGGGCTTAAACCCATGAGGAGATGAAGGTTTTTGGGCTATACCTGCTCAGTCAGCTTGAGTGTTGGAGCCAGAGTGACGTTTTTCCTGCTGCCTGGGCTTTAACAGGTCACATTGCTCCGTTCTGTTTGTCTCCGTTTCTTGTCATTTGTTGATGTTTCAGGCATTCACCAAAGGAACACCAAGTCTGGGGATAGTAAGATCTGGGAAATCTTTTGTTCCAGGCTGTCTCTGTGGCTTCCATGAGTGGCTCAGCTGATGGGCATTCCCTTTCCACTTCACTGGGCTTCCAGGCCCTCCCCTCCCTCAGTGCTCCTGTCCCCTGAGGCTGGGCACAGAAGCACAACCCTTGCAGTTCAGTGCTGCCTGCCACATCAGTCTCTTCAGATCTTACCATGTGCTGGACTGCCCTTAACAGGAAATCTTTTTGAGCATTTTATGTTTGAAGGGAGAGGAATGGAAGCTTGGGGCTGAGCTAGAGATTTCTGATGTAACATGAGATATTGTGGCATCCCCTGGGACAGAGTGCTCCTGGCTCCTGGTTCCTCTTCTGCCATCAAGGTCCTCCAGTATTGATTGCAGTGAAAAGTGACTGCCAGGACAGTACCAAAACTCCTGAGCCAGAGTCCTTTTGCCTGTTAGAGACCAGGAGAGCTTCAGTTTCTCATAGCTGCAGGTGGACAGCAACACGGCCTCCCTGCAGCCCCTACTGCTGTCAGCCCTGCCCTGGGCTGTCCCTGCCGGAAGGTGTGTGCCCTGCAGGAAGGTGTGTGCCAGGGCTGTCCCTGGAGGCTGTCCCTGCAGCAAGGTGTGTACCCTGGGCTGTCCCTGGAGGCTGTCCCTGGGGCAGGGTGTGTGCCAGGGCTGTCCCTGGAGGAAGGTGTGTGCCCTGGTCCCTGTGCCACAGGCGGGGCTCTGCTGCCACCCAACGGGGACAGGACGAGTCCTGTGCCGCTCGCTCAGCTCCGTGCAAGCTCTCGGCGTCTCGCTAAAGCAGAACCACAGACAGCGGTTGCTGTAGAAGACAGGGACTTTCTGCAGTGAGGACTTCTTGGTGGCTTGTTCCTGAAAGAACTGAAGTTTGTACAGAGCGTGCCAGGTGGTCTTTGAATCATAAAGAGCATGAAAAACAGAAGTACTTTCCCTCTTCTGCTGAGAATGTCTATAAAGAGAAAGGTTGAGTCTTTGTGCAGGACCTGGGAAGGGTTTAAGGAAAGGAAGATGTACCTTTGCACTGCTGTGCAGTTCATCCCTTTGGCTACCAAATGCTGTGACAGGTGGGCAGTTAATTAAGGTTAATGAACCAAGTAGCTGACAACAAATGCATCTGTTTGCTTGTTTGCAGATTGTGCTGGCTGTGGAAGAGACATCAAAAATGGACAAGCATTGCTAGCCCTGGATAAGCAGTGGCACCTGGGGTGCTTTAAGTGCAAGGCCTGTGGGAAGGTCCTAACTGGGGAATACATCAGCAAGTGAGTAACCTCTGCTTCTCTTCTGAACTCATGGCACAGTTTTAGCTGCTAGCAGAGAAGAGCTTGCAGCAAAAATCACATCTGGAAGTCCTGTTTTGACCACCTTTCCATATACACCAGTCTTTGTTCCCAGTGAGAGCTGAACTGGGAAAGTGAACTGCAAAGTGCAACTGAAAGGTGATGTTTAATGACACCAGTCTGAAAGAGGTATAATTACACATTCCCATAGAGAATTGGCTGGTTTGTTGCACATGTTTTCTGTAGTAGCCAGATGAAGCATTGTGTAATTTTGCTTTCCAACATGTGATTTTGAGGGAAAAAAGTAGGAATTTGTGCATTTCTTATCTTTGCTAGATGAAAGAGTAAATGTGATGGAGTAATTGACCTGACATTGTATTTCTTATCTCCATATAAGAAACTAATGAAGAGGGTTTTGAGTGAAAGAAGGTGTAGAGGAAGAGAACAGGGAAATGATAAAAGAGCAGAAATGAAAATAGACATTTTTTCCCCCTTCAAGCATATAGCAAAGAGAAAAAATAAGGAAACAATGTACATTTCACAAATCTGTCATTTGGATGTGTGTAATATTTATAAGAAGTAGCATCTGTAATTTCTCAAAAAAAAAAATCTGGTGCCTGAGAAATTCTCCTGGGCTGACTAGTGTTTCCACTTTTACTGTATGTTCCTTGTTCACACTAAAATACTACATTACCTTACACTTAAAAGTAACTGCTTATAGCCTTGCAGCCTACCAAAGGCTTTTTTTTTTTTTTTCTGAAGTGAACAAAAACTGTCTGTTTGTGATAGACTGTGATTTCCTCTCAACCCCAGAGACAGTTACACTGATTCCCTGGAACTGCACCACCTGTAGGTGTAGAGAGTCTGCTCTAAAGAAGAAGGATTACTTCAGTAGTTTGTCCTGGATGCCTTCTCTTGATAGAAAATTAAGGAATAATTCTAAGACGCATTAGTGAGAATATGATTTTTGTTTCTTGTACTAAAAGCGTTTCCCTTGAACTCTCCCCATTTACTTGCGTCTGTGTGTAGGAGTTGCAAACTGAAGACAAATGAAGAGAGTAAGTCATGCTGTAACCTGTTTAATAAGAAGTGGTTTGTAATTTGTGAATTTTCTTTTTCAGAGATGGTGCTCCTTACTGTGAAAAGGACTACCAAGTTCTTTTTGGAGTCAAGTGTGAAGCATGTCACCAGTTCATTACTGGGAAAGTCCTAGAGGTAGGTGTTTTGTGAATTAGAGTTTATGAAGAATTGAGACACCCATTCTGTTCTCACATAACTGCAGGGAATACAAAAATTCTCATAGAAAGGCTTCCTGCTGATTCTAGAACAAAGTTGCTGCTTTTCAGAATTATTTTCAGTTTTAGTTTTGCAGTCATCAGGAAAAGTGTGTGATATAGAATTAATTGCACTAGTTTCTATCTGCAAAGCATATTGCACTGCTTATTCTGTCAGATTTAATATATTTACAGAATTAATTTGAGTACTGAAATCACTTTTGGCAGCCATAAGTTTGTCAGAACTTACCACATGAGATTTACACATGATCTGAATGATGCTGAGAAGGTGACGGGGAGAAATGTGTTGGAGAGGTAAATTATGTGTTCAGAAATGAGAAGGCAGAAGCCATCTGAATAATCTCTTTTGCTGGCTCTCATTTGGAGTCCTCAACGTTCTCATTGAGACCAGTCAAATCTTTTTAGAGATGTCAGCACCAACCTCCATCTGTCATGGCTCTGGTAAGTCCCCTTTGAGCTGGAATCCTTGAACTATGCTTGGGTTCCTCTGTGTCATGACTGAATTGTTTAAGGGGCCAAAACACAAAGGACCTTCCTTGTCATTGAGATATGAGAAACAAAACTCTTGTCCCTGTAGGAAATTCTGCTCAGTGGAAAGAACCTAAGCATTGAGCTCAGGTCAGGAGCTGGAGTATGTGTTTTTGAGCAAATAACTGAGAATATACCTGAAAGTGTCATAAAAAATAGAAGCAGCTGGAAGTTGCAAGAGACAGTGTGTTACAGGTTCCCTTCTTTGTGTCCCATCTACTACACATGTAAGACTCTGTCAGCCCTATTGCGAGAAGTTTCAGGTTTGACATAAGAAAGTATTGTGGTTTTAGTTGAGGAGGTTTCTCTGGTTCAGCATTCAGAGTATGAACCAGTCACCATGAGGGACTCAGAGTTCCTGTGGGCACCCTGAGCATTTGGAAGAATGCACTGGAAGGATGCACAGCTCTTTCATTAGCCAGACTCTCAGCTCACCTCCTTTGAAATGTGTATCTAATTCCTTTGGAGACCTGCACAGATAATTACTGAGAGCAGCTTGGGTATTCCCCTGAGTAGGAAGGCTGTGTCTCTGGCTTTCTTCTTCTGGCCTGCCACCATCTGCTTATCTATTCCTGTCTCCTGATGAGTTTTTGAAATTTAGCATTGTGTATTGGAGACACCGTAGTTGCAATGCTGTGCAGAAAGCTCTGCAGGAGAGAAGTAATTGGATTTGTGAGATTGGGAAACATAAAATAATTCTAAAATTGTTTTAGGTGTATATGACAGTTGCTGTATGACAGCAATGCAACCTATCAGATCAAAATGACAAAAGAGTCATTGGAGTCTGTGGAGGGCTGGGAAGAAATAAACTATTTCTATCTGGAGCATTTTGTGAAGTAGCTGTGAATATAGTAAGGTTCACTCATGTTACTCTACCTAGCATCAGTGAGGAAGAAACCTAACTGTTTGAGGGGTCATGAGCTGTATCCCATCAGAACTGGATAAACTGAGACTAAGGAAAGATTACTTCAATTGACCTGGAACTTGGCTGTCCATCATAATTTAAGGTAACATTTCAGGGATGTATCCCAGAAACTTGGTGCTCATTTTGGCCCCAAGGTGAGTTTCTCACTTCATAGTTCTTATTCTTCTATGGCTATTTATTATCAGAAGATGAGACAGCATTTGCTGCAGAAAGGAAGCATGTCCAAACTCTTACAAGGTGTCCCTCATCTAAGAGTCAAATCAGATAAAAAAGATAAAGTTTTTTCTATGTAACCTGGCCCCTGCAGCATCAGACTTTTCTGATGAATTAGAAACAGAACTTTTGAATGATCTTGTCAGTAATGGAAACCTTAAGCATGCTGAGTTCTGGTTACTGAGACTATAAATTTTACTTGAATATTTGTGGCTCACACTGGTTATCAGAGACACAAACCAAAATACTGCAGCAGAGGGCAGCAGTGGTTCTTAACACATAACTGAGACCAAACTCCTCGATGGCCTGTAGAAGTTGTGTTGCTCTGACTGCTGTCTGTAAGGTGTAGGCTGGCCGAGTCATAAAAAATTTTCACCAAAAAAAATTAGCATTGTGTAGCCAGGGAGGCCATTCAGACACTGTCTTCACTGAATTGCAGTGTGTATTAGCAGCTTGGATAGTCCATGATTAAAGTTCTGCAAGTATCATCTGGGAATGCAGATGCAGGACAGACATTCAGACACTCTGTGTATTTTAAGTGGTGTTGGAAAAGTTTGGAAGGTACAGGTGAGCAGCTACTATTGTTCAACAATCAGAGCAGTTTGTCACAACTGTGGGCTTGTTTAGTGGCTCTTCACTGTCAGAGGTACACAAAGTTCCAAAGGGACAGTACTAAATACTGCCTCGAAATATGACTCAAGGAACTAATAAGTCAGAAGCTAGCATGAGAAAATCATGTGTCAGCACGTGTGTGTGTCCCCTTGGGCAGGAGAGGTCATCTGAAGGATGGGGTCAGAGCATGACATAAATCTTCTGCTAATAATGGAGATGAGGTCGGAAGCAGCCACAGGAGATAATTCACAGAACAGGAAGCCACAGTTCAGAGAGGGCTGCAGACCTGTTTGAGGCAGGACAATTAACAATCTCCTTATCCTGTGTGGGAATCACCCACAACCTTTCAGTTCACCTGAAGTTTTCATTTAGATGAAGCTTGAGATCTTCACAGGAGGATTAGTGTCTTCCCTCTTTGTTTTCTTTGGCAATGTTTCTTTGGGAAATTTGGGTATTTTTGATGATTTATATCATGTGGGTTGTCTTGTTCTGCTGTTTCCCCTTTGAGAAAAACCATATTCTTGGTGTAAAGTAGCACCCTTACTGGAATTGTCTAGGTAGAGGTTATGTCTGCCCAGCCCAAATTATGCCTATTAACATGCAGTCAGAAAAAAAACCCAAAACACTTAGTATTTTGCCTTTGTTAATAAAAATGATTGTAGCAAATGTCCTGTAGTAAATGTAGCGATCAGTACATTTCATTTTATTTGTCAATAAAATAATTCATTATGTCAGAAGCAGAGTCTGCTATCTCATCTTCTTCACCCAAAGAAATTATTAGAAGTGGTTGAAGGGAATTATATGGTACATTGTGTACAAACACTTCCCTCTAATGGATCAGAAGTGATTAGCAGCAAGCCACTTTGGTGCTGCTTTATTTTCTGCTTATTCTTATTACATCTGTAGAAAAACTGAAGAGAGATGAAAGCATGAAAATTAACTTTGGGTTCACAGGGGCTGGTGCTGTCTATTTTACCCCTACAAGTCTATTTCACTTATTTTTTATTTAAAGAGAAGTTGAGATTCTTTGCAACATTTCAGACTTGCAACTCCTGCTTGTTTTGTCCCTCAGTATGGCTTTAGCACCTCTGAGAAAGTCAGATTTTTCAGTCTCCTACAATGAAGAGCCAGCAAGAGAGACAGCCACTCCTCATGTGGACCTAAGAGGCTTCATCTCAGAAGCAGCTATGCTGTGCTCCTGGAGCACCCTCAACAAAATCCATCAGAAAAGCCAAGGTTTGGGTTCAGACCAAGATTCAAGGACAGACTCCCTCCAGCCACACTGCAGAGGTGATCCCTTTGCTCAGTTAGGAAGTCCATTAGGAGAAAGACAGGACTTTGCTAATATCCCCAAATCATGGAGGAATGCTGTTTTTTTTCTAGGCTATAGATATAACAACTTTCAGTAGCCATGGAAATATGCAGGAAAAATACCATGTGCATTTAAGGCAGCTCAGATATTTCTGATGTATTATTTGGCCCATTGCTTTCTGTGACAAATACTCACAGATGAGATATGAGTGCATGCCAGCACAATAAATGTGGTAAATGCCCAATATGAAATAGATATTGCAACTTTCTTGAGCATACTGGATACTTTAATGCTTGAGATTTCAGGAAATGTTGCCAAGGCAACAGAGATCAGTGCTCTTCCTTGGATTTCTCTAGCAGAAAGGAATCTTTAGTTACAAAAAATTACTCTTTTCCCATTAACTCTTGTAAAAAATGTTTTTAGCAGGCAGTAACAGCATAGTGAGAGTGAAGACTTTACACAGACTTCCCACTGAGCAATGGTTTTCATAGCTTCAGGGTTTGCCTCTTGAAAGATGCCTGTCTAATCCTAAATCTGCAAATTTCTGTGCAGCTCCACAAGTCTGAGTAAACTTGACCATGCATTTAGCCATTTGAAAGATGTCAACCTAAATTACTTTTGTCTAATTTGTTTTCCATACACAGTATAACTGCTACTCCAGGGCTTAATTCAAAATATGTGAAATCATTGAGAAGCTTCCAGCTGACTTCAGAAAAGGGTGAATCATCCATGTATTCCACCTTTGCTTATCTAAAATGTCTTACAACACTTCTAAGCAGTATTCTCTTAGCTCTGCAAAAGAAGACATGAGGGCAGAAAAAGGTGGATACTTTGCATGAAATTGTACTAAAAGATTGAGAATAAGATCGAGTTTTTTACAATTTTCACCTTTTCCAGCTATAACTGATATGAACAGGATTTGATCTCAGCATCTTGACCATCTTGCTACTTCACACATTTATTTTTATAATGTTTTTTGCTTAATATTAATTAGGAAAAAAAAAAAGGCAATTGTGTGATTTCTCCTGGCTGTGCATAGCTCTAGTTCCTACTCAAGGGGCTGCTGCCTGCCCTGGGTTTGCTTCCTGTGCACTGTTGAATCTTGCACCCCACCTTGTAAGCAGTGGCACAGTGCCATTTTCACAGATGGACCTGAAAAGAGTCCAGGCCACCAGAAGGTTCCCTTGATTTCAGACTGCAAGGTCAGGTCAAGTTCTAAATATGTTTGTGATGCTGTAGTTTATGCTGAGCTGCTCCTGATTGTAAAGAGGAGTAGTAATTTAAGATGTGGTACTTAACATGAATGAAGTTCAGTACTTGTATATACTGT